AATAATTGGGGTGACCGAATGGCATACTGTAAGGCCAGTAGAAGGAGCCACATGAACGAAATCGTTTTTCATTCCTGACGCGGATACTTTTAGCTTCACAACAAAAAAAAAAATTAATAAAAAATATCAATGTATGCTCATTTGATCGCATTTTTAAAAACGTACCAATAGAGGGCCCACCCTGTACCACCCTGTATATATTTACATGATATTGCATTGCAAGTTGCAATATTACCGCAATGTTGTAATCTCACTGCAATATCGCTGCAATATTACGTGCGTGGGTATAAATTTTGAATTTTTAAATTGTGATAAAAATTATACGCGATGATAACAAATAAAAAATGACACATATGACGCATATGTGCATGGCTAGCGTATTATACGGAAGCGTGAATAATTAATTCTCGAAAATGTCGTAATGTAACTTTATTATACATGGCTGAATTTGTAAAAAACTAATCTTTAATTTGAAAATTAACGTTAATTAAAAAATTGAAAATTTAAGAAAATTACGGATGGGGGGGGGATTTTGTTAAACAAAAAAATAAAAAATTTTTTTTTCTTTATAACTTTAAAGTACTCTTGAAAATTGTACAACTTTTGTTTAAAAAATTTTTTCCTTCTTTTATATTTCCGATGATATTTGGCTCGAAAGAAAAATATCGTTTTTTTCAAAGAGGTGTTTCACCTCTTAAACATAAGTTAGCGCACGTATAAAAAATACGTGTCTCTTAGATTTTCGTGTTTTACAACATATTTCATGGAGAATCAAATCAGTTCCGGATAGTTGTAAAACTTCTCTTATTAGCAGCCAGAACGTGGAAGCCAGGAGCGAATAGGGTACTGGGGCGCCCAGGATTAATAAGTAATAAAATGCATTAAAAATGCATTAAGTCCTACATTTAAAATGATACAAAATAAGTTGAAATATAAAAAATTATTATTATTATAATCTAAAATTAAAGGGGAAATCTGGTTTAGAGAATCAAAATTTTCAATATTTTTTTCTAGATCAATAATTTCATAGGAAAGTGCTAAACAAAAGATAGTCGCCCTCTCTAGTACTGGCAGAATATATGGCTATTTCCGAAACAAATAAAGAAGCCATTTATTTAAGAAACTTATTACAAAAAATAACAGGAGATTCATATTGTATTCGCTTATTTAATGATAATCAAACAGAACGTACAAAAATTGTTAGTGCTATGTATCACAAGAGATCTAAATGCACATAGATAAATGTACATCATTTTATTAGAGAAGCGGTTTCTAATAAGTTGGTAAAGATAGAATATTTATAATCAATTGATGTGCCAGCAGATATTTTTACTAAAGGAGTTTATTTAATGATTTTTATCTTTGTCTATATTATTTTATAGACTTAATTAATCGATCGGAAATTTCAGAGGAAGTTTCAAAATAAAAGTCATGCACAATCTTTTTTTGCCCTCTATAGTTGTATTTGGTGATTTAGATTACAACAATAAATCCAAAATATTTAGATATAACATCGATACAAGATAATTCTCAATAGATTAAGTATCTATATAAGATATAGATATATATATGGTGTGTATATAGATGACACATACAATATAGCATGATTTCGTAATATTCGATACAATCGCTAACAAATAACATTTAATAGTTATTTTAGACATCTTTTGCACTCGTTTTATTTTATGTTCGGACAATATTATATTAACATTTTTTAATATGTACAGATATATCTGCTTCTGTATCGTACTATTATAGAATATTATAACAATATGTATCATAATATTTAATTAATTACCTAATACCAATAAAATTGAATTTCATCAAGTTAGTCGCTAAGGAGTAAGACAAGAATATTGATAACAAATCAGAAATCAGTAAGCCAGGCTATCAAATAATTTTAAATTCGATATTTTGTACGTTATATTATAAAATGATCTATTAAATTGTTTGTTGAATAGGGAATTTGTAGAATGTTTCGAAATTTCACTTGATATTTTATTTGAAACGCAATTTACGGATGATTGATTTGTACATATCTAATTGCGAATGACGTGGGATCAATAAAAAGTATTTAATTCGACTGATACAAATTAACATAACAAATTTGTTTGTTAAAATTGAATTAAAAATCTATGATTACATTCCGTAAGAAACAATTCCTAAATTCAGAATATTTATGTTAAAACAAGAAAAGAATGATCAATCTTCTTGGAAATTTCAGATGTTTCGTTCATCCTCGGCGCTTCGATCATCCTCAAAGGAATCCTTTTCATGACTCCAAAGAAAAGAACGATGACGATGATCCTGTGAGATGTTTTGAATAACCGATTAATTTTATATTTCTAATAATGTATCGAATATCTTTCTGGATCAATCTAATATGCGTGATTAGCGACGAAAAGTGCCGTGTCTCCCGCAGCACCGGCCACACCACCCGCGTATTTACCAAGTGCCGACTCACTGTTAGCCTGTTGAAAAACAAAAAATGTACTTGCAATACTAATTGACACACTCAGTCGATATATCTTTCTTGAAAAAGCTTTAGAAAATTGTGAAAATGTCAAATAAACAAATGAAACCATTCTTCCAAACAGAAAAAGAATTTTAGAAAGAATTTTGTAATAATTCTGTAATAATTGACATTAATAGCAATTGCATCAATTACTAATGAGAAGTTTGAATAAATATTTAAATAGTTCTTAAACACATGTGCTTATGTCATAGCTATAGGCTATGATTAGCAAACTCAATTGTTGCTCGTATGGCATGTAATATCACAGTAATATCGCAACAATATTGCAATATATCAAAAATATTACATATTGCAATGTATTATAATATCACACAAATATTACTAATATATTACACGTTGATAAATAACATTGAAATATCACAGTAATTTTGTGATATCACAATAATATTGCTGCAATTTATCAAAGTAATATTGTAACAACATAACTTCAAGGAACAGAGTGGCATATTATATATCAGTGCTTGCAAAGATTTCTACATTTTGGGCTGATTTCGGCAAGCGATCCACCGCTCGAGACTCGGCGACCGAGCCGCCCAGCGCTCACGACGCTTTGGCTCAGAAATGTCCCTATACCAGAAATATGTATACTGGAAGCGCATCTTCCGCCAAATTATTATTGAAACATGTTTTTTTATTAAATAATTTATTTCTATTAACATAAAAATTACTCGCAATAAGTTCATTATAGTTTTTTAAGATTAAATTTGAGAAATTTGGGGGGATTATTAATATTTCAGATTGATTGCATTAAAAGTCCGACAACTATATCGGCACGCAATTATAATTTCTGAAATTAATTCATTTAAATGAATATATATAATAATTTAACATCTTAATATTCAGACCGTACTGGCGTTTTGTATTTAAAGTAATGTATAAAAATTTCTATTGTTAATTTATTCATTGTTCCTTAATGATATACTTATATTTTAACGTAGTGTTTTCTAATACATTACATAATTATGATAACGTACATTTTGACAATAGCTTCCACATCACCCGTGAAGTACTATTGTAAGATGCATTTTTTTTTAATGTGATTTCCCCAGTAGGCCTATTTCACAAAAAGAAAAATCAAATACTCGAATGTGGCTTGGCAAGAAAGCAAAATTATATATCGTATTATACGATATATAATTTGATTCTTCTTTTTATGGAATAGATTACTGGGGAAACCACATTAAAAAAAAATGCATCTTACATTAGTAACTCATGAGTGATGTGAAAAGAGATGTCGGAATGTACGTTATCATAATTATGTAATGTATTAGAAAACACTACGTTAAAATATAAGTACATCGTTAAGGAACAATGAATAAATTAACAATAGAAATTTTTATGTTAATAGAAATAAATTATTTAATAAAAAACATGTTTCAATAATAATTTGGCGGAAGGTGTGCTCCCAGTATATTTCTGGTATAGGAATGCTCCTAAGCCAGAGCGTGAGCGCTCGGCAGCTCGGCCACGAGCAGTGGTGAGGCTCGTTTGCCGGAATAAGCCCGAAATGTGCAAATTTTTGCGAGCACTGTTATATATTATAATAATTAATAACGTTTCTATGATGTTTACTTAACGTTAAAAACGTCATTAAGACATTTAATTACTAAGATATCATAAAATTATACATACACACACATATGGGATAAAGACAGCTATAAAATGTTAAAACTAACATTATTCCGATATAAAATGCATAAGATTTTTAATTGATACATATACATATTTATCATACATATATGATTATAATTATATTATTATCAATTGACTATCAATCCTGAAAATTTATGGTTCCCATTACGTATACTACAGATTTTTCAGTACTGGTAATCAACTGACAGTAATATGCAAACATAGCCTAAATGATAGCGGTTCATTATTATTCTATCATAAATATATACTTATATGCTGGTTATAAATAAAATGATATAAATAAAATATGCTTATTACTTCATATTTAATAATTATTACAGGTAATTAAAAGTTATACTATCGAGGAGGAAAAAATGTTGACAAAGTTGTGAATAAAATAACGAACCTAATTTTTACTAATTCTTTAGCATGTAGCTATAGCTATCAGGCTGTTCTTCGCCCTAATGAAGTGGACTGCAAGGTTCAGGAAACGTTGACATTCCAACAATGGATCTGAACATAGAGGAAATCCGCGAAACGCATAATCTTTATATAGTTATAGCTATCTTGGGAAGCAGAAAAAGAAATTATTTTATAATTTAATTTTATGTAAATGTATTTTAGGTAAATTTATAGTGAAATTATAATAAATAAATATTATATTGTTTTAATTGAAGATAAGTAAAAGTAATTGAAATACTCGTAATAAAACACAAGAATTAAATATAGTAAATAGTATTAACAATCATTATTATTTTATAATTAAGGGGATGCTGGAGTAACGACCAAACTTAATCGATAGTACAGATTTTTTAAATTCCAAATAAAAAAATCGATAATAGTGACATCTTTAATTCATTTCTTACAATATCGTTTTGTCTCACTCAAACGCATACAACTATCCTTATTTAAGAAGTTGCAATGCCATCTCTTACAAAATCGAACACCTACTGCTAGACACAATTACTGCTTTGTTTACTACTCCGAGTTCGCACAGCATTCATATACACGTAATTGCAGATTGACATAAATCTTTCTTCTTAAGCTTTGTGACATGACAATTTTTGTCCGTCACTGTCGCAGATCGTCTGCGGGGGGATCTTGCGTCTTCTCGGCTCAGAGGGCGAGCGCGCAAACGGGCGCGCGTGCGTGTTAATCATTCATTTAGTTAATTTATTTGTTAAAAACTTATTTCTTTTAGTTAATATTACATTTAGATCTTATATCATCGACGGACGTACTCGATGGCTGAATTGTTATTTTGTAATCTTGTTCCACCATCGGAAGAAAGAAGATCGCACTATGCAGAGAAGGATGAAGGTGCGATAATATGCTGGGAAGCATATAGATAATAGGATGCGATAATATGGTTCCGCCTCACCCGGAAGCCCTGACGCAAGTCATATAATTTCGTATATTTTTATAATGCGCTGTCGTTCTAAGCTTTGCTGTATCGCACGAAAATTAGAGAAGAGCTATGGAAAGAGAAAGCTCCATGTACGCTAGATGGCTGAGGAAGATACCAGAGATCAAGACACTCCGACGCGGAGCCGGTGGCGGAGCTTGCCAAAACCTTCCGAGCCAGACCCAGAAGGCGGTACAGATGACGTTGGAGTCCTTCTTCAAATCATACTGCGCGCCCTAAAGAGCAAAAATTCGCGGGATCGCGTAATCAATAAGGGCCAATCGGCGCGTGGTATAGAGGGGGATTAGAAGGGGACCGAATGGCCTATGTGAATTCGCGGAAAATTCCTGGCCGGTATCATGATTGAATTAGAAAGGTTACCCATCGCGGAGGACCTGCCACATGATCTGAGATCTCAACCAATCAAAAATTGAGTTCATTGCAGCATGAACGAGTCATGTGAATTTCTGCAAATGAGTCAAAAAAAAACTTGGTTGACAGATTCTCCCACTACTTTCAACCTACTGCGCATCCATGTGAATGGATACGCAATCTCTTTTTAATTCAACTATGACCAGCATTCATACTGTGGCCGAGCCATTCTAATTGTGAGAGGACGTACAATCGAAGTTATCAAAAGTAGAGCCGAGGTTGTCGTAAGGATAGAGGGTACGAGGAGTGAGATTGGATGAGACGAACATAATTGTGAAGCTACCGATCTCGAGATTCCTAGTGTCAGATGGATCACGCATGAAAACTCGAGAAGTTTCGAGTGACCGATCTTATAGCTGCCGTGTGAATCATCAAAAAAGTACGAGCCACGTGCCATCCGAATTTTTCTTTTTGAGAGAAATACTAGTTGGCGATTAGCACTTGCCATAGTCGAGTCACTTTATGTTAAGTCAATTTATGTCATTTCATTGTGCATTAGCCAATCGAAACTTTTATTGATTGCGACAATAGAATCACTATGTAAAAGTCACGTCAGAGATCCGTTCCGATTCGCGCTGATATAATCCTGGTACTTTTTGCCAGAATACAAGTTTTTGTATAATGGTGATAAATTTTATTTTGTATTTGGTCGTCGTACAGTATTCGCCTTTTTGATGTGATCATTCGTGGAGCCAAGATTTAGCGAGATCTTACACAGGGTGCGTCATCAAAATCCAAACAAATCGAACAATTTCTTTAAACAAAATGATTTTAATGAAAAATTAAATATTACAAAAAATCCTTTTATATAGCACTTGGGGGATCCCTGTAAAGCATTATCGATATATCCCCCATTAGCTTGAATGGCTTCTATTCTCGATCTGAAGCGTTCGCACGCACATTGTAATAGCGCTGTCCATGCCGACGAATGCTGCCTTAATAGCGATCCTTAATGACGTCACATTGTCGAGACTTGTTTGTGACCCTTTCAACTATGCTCCATACATAGTAGTCCAAGGGATTTGAATCTGGACTGTTGGGAGACCAGAATGGGAGCCGAGGCGAGCAACTCATCCTGGCAGCCTAAGAGAGCATCTGTCGTGTCTTTAATACGATTTGTATCGAAGGTTCTCCTTAGCAATTCGACACATTGGCTCGTTTACACCAATAATCGATGCTAATTTTCACAATGGTTATCCTGGGTCATCCGAAATTAGCGTTTGAGCACTTTCAATGACTGCGGGGGTCCTCGCGGTGCAAGGACTTCTTTCGAATAAGTCTTCCTCGTTGGCATACTGGAATCTTTGTTGGAAACTGTTCTAAAGCCATTATATTTTGCCACAACGTAATAAACGGTTGATCTCTATGCAAAGAACCGAATTATTTCCGTTGCTGAGCGCCCAGCGCGAAGGCCTTCGCTGATCGCGGCTCTTCGATTATATTCCGCACTTGATTTCAACATCACGGTCATTTTGAGAATATGATTGTCTAGAAGCATCAGGCTTTCTCAGACGCCAACAACAACCTCTGACGGAGGAAAATTTAAATTGAAATTTGTCCGGATTTTAGTGACACACCCTGTATGATTGCTTAACCGGCATTAATATCGACTTTATTTTGTTGTTTCCCGTAGATGCGGAGCCTGTAAGATCAGGCCTATCGAGTTAAGTTCTGAAAGTCAATGGTAAATCGGCTTATCAAATACACTTATTATTTTCTTATTAATTTTTTTATTATTCTTACAGTCTCTCTCGTCTTCCGACAACTTCCCCGCTTATAATGACCCACCCCAGTGGCCATCGCGAATTATGATTTCGTGTGAATATCATAGAATAATTAAAAATTAACGAAAAAGTAGCAAGCTCTCTCGTGCCTAGCACCCAATTGATTTCGCGAAAATCTCTAAGGGCGGAATCCATAGATGATGTTCAAGAATCGAGATAGTCTTAAGCTAATGAGATGTCATAAACCAAGAGAGCTATATTAGCATCTTAAGACATTACTTGAGACTGTCTTAAGATTAATAACAGACTATGGATTCTAAGACTATGGCCTAAGATTTTGCAAAAATTCTGTCTGGTTATCGAGTCATCTTGTAAGAAAATTTATTTATGTGAAAAATATAATAGAGGACGTGACCAAGTTGTGCGATCAATAAGTTCTTAGAAAATCTGTTAAAGAGCACTCGCTGTGTCATGTCACATTACTTTTTGATAAGTAGCATCTTTCAGCTGATTATTGTCAAATTTTGAACGGAATTCATCGCATGGTTTCATTTCTGTAGACGATTAAAGCGAACAACCTTTGTATTTTTTGCAAAATGGAAAAAAACAAGTTTCCTGCAGTAATTAAATATCTACTAATATGAAAGGTTTAACGCCGAAAGAAATCAAAGTCGAATTGGATAATGTTCATAGCACATCTGCACCAGCGTTTGCAACTGTATATAATTGGGTAAATAAATTTAAACGTGGTCATACATCCACATGTAATGCATCTCGTTCGGGACATCCAATTGAAACTGCTACGTCAGAAATCATCGATAAAGTCCACGATATTGTTTTGAGTGAAAGTGCGCGAGCTTGTTGAGGACATAGGCATATCACATGGAACAGTGATTTCAATTTTGCACGAACAATTGGGTGTGAAAAAGCTATCGACAAGATGAGTGCCGCGTTTGCTCACTGTGGACCATAAGCCCGACCATGTGACGATTTCAAAACAATGTTTGGAGCTTTCAACGTAATCCAGATGAATTTCTGCGTCGATTCATTACTGTGGATGAAACATGGATCCATTACTTCACACCCGAAACGAAGGAAGAGTCAAAACAATGGACTCCACCGAGTGAACTAACTCCAAAGAAAGCGAAGACCATGAAGTCGGCCGGAAAGGTGATAGTCACAGTTTTTTGGGATGCACGCGGTATAATTCATGTCGATTATCTTCTGTCGAAGCAAACGATCAATGGCAATTACTACGCAGCCTTATTGGACCGTTTCAACAACATTTTAAAAAAAAAACGTCCCCATTTGGCGAAGAAGAAAGTGCTCTTCCATCAAGATAATGCACGGGTTCACATGTGCCCGGCATCGATGTCAACGAATTCAACGAATTCCATTAAATACAACGATAATAGTTTAGTAGAGTTAGCGTTTTCAAAGGCCGAAAAATCATTTCGATGCGCGTTTCTAAGGACCACATACATATATAAAATCACACAAGAATCATACAAGCATTTAAGATCTAGTTAGACCGTTTAAAGCTTTGATTTTTATAATTATAAACATTTTATAAATATCACAGAAATATTTTAGCAATATTTCTCTGTGATATTCTCAGTAACATTCCTGTGATTCATTTTCGCGGACATTGTAATATTACTGTGATAACTCAATAATATTTCAGCGATATTCCTGCTACATTTCATTGTAATATTGCAATGGAAAAATCATATTGCTGTGATATTACTGTGATATGCAATAGTTGCAAAATAAATGTTCTGCTGAACGCAGCCATAATATCTCTAGATTGCGCATTCAAGGAATGGCGATAAAGCTTAAAAAGGACGCACTTGTTATAGTATATCAATATCTAGAGTCCTTATACCAGAATTTGGCCATTCATCATATTCGCATCTATTGGCTGAATCAAGTTTAAGAATAACAATTGAAACCAATGAGAATAATTTACTACAAAATTCAGACTATTTCAAACAAAAGAGACACAATAAATTACAAAACCACTTTAAATATAAATTTTGTATTCTCCTACAACATTAATTTTAAAATTTCAATACATATTAAAATAAAAAAAAGTCTATAAATATAGCGTTACCACAAAGAATTATTTTGCTATTGTCCACACTGCATTTATTAATCGATCTTTTTTGACATGCGATTCTCATACGATATCCTACAAAATACTTCTTTATTTTTGTAGATATTATAGTTGATGACAGTTAAAAAATAAAATATAATATATATACTACATATATATATATATAATATATACAATATATATATATATATAATATATACAATATATGGTATATATATATATTAGGTGTACAAAAAAGTTCTGAGCTTTTTTTTGTAAAATTAAATCTTTATTCT